GCAAAGCAGATATTGATCTCCAGCCATTTCAGTCTGCTATCTTTTTAGAATGATAGAATCATAGCATACCAGGTAGGAAGGGACCACAAGGATCATCTAGTCCAGCCTTTCAAAGTGAAAGTATAGTTAAATAAGATGAATCAGCACCCTCTCAAGCTGAGTCTTAAAACTGACCAATACAGGGGAAACCACCCTTAAAACCATGCTGTAGAACGTTGCTGGAGAGGAACACTGCCACTGTATTTATAGGAAGATAGTTTCTTCACCTGAAACTTCCAGCTAATACAATAGCCATAGCACTGTATCTGAGTTTGTAATTTTTGTCTGAGAACATGTCGTAGCCACATGCCAGTCCACATTTTTTAATCTTGTATTCAATGGCTTGTGTAGCCCTATTGTGCTTCCATATTCAGAGACACTGGCAAAGTTCAGCTGTTTGATGAACAGCAATCGGTGAGGACACCTGACTTATCTCTTAATTTCTCAACAATTTCTGTTTTGCTAATCATACATGTTGACTTCTTTTGTATATTCCAGCATTTTCCCTTTCTTTCAGTTATAATCAGATAGAGTTGGCATTATAAAATTACCACAAATATTAAAATAGTCAATATTTACAACTTAAGCAGTAAAGACAGAATGGAGAACAGGAAGGAGACTGACCTCTGTTTAAAGTCTGCATAGAGGATTCTGCTGGGGAATCCCTTCCTGCAAATTCTTATCCCTTCCAGCACGCCGTTACAGCGCAGCTGGTGTAGTACCAGTTCATGCTCCATAGCACCTAAGTAGATAAGACAATTACTTCATACTTCATCATATAGCATAGAGAATAATGGCTGCATCACACAATTATTTATTTCTACCTGAGGTTCTTACCAGGTGTTTTTGTTTCATTGGGGATGATACAGCGCACAAAATGGGGATGAGTGCTCCTTAGATTGGTCATGAGCTTGTTTAGGTTCTCCTGTGTGTTCATGAGAAAGATTTTTTCAATAACAAATGGTACCTCTGTAGTTGTACTTACAGATATGAGAAAAATGTTGGAAAGCAATAGTGAATTTACTATTCCCACCTACAGCCATCTCACATTGAATTTTCTTCTGCCTTTCAGTCTTGAGCATGAGAGAAAATCACAGAAATGTGTAATGTGTTTTTGTGAGACTGAGGGATACATGGACACCTATGGAGAATGGTGACCCGAAGTTTGTGGCAAAAGGCATAATTCTGAGTGAAAGATGATTCTTTGTAATCATCAGGTTCTCACTGTATGGAAGACACTGACTATTGATAGCAACAGAAACAAAACCAAAAACAGGACAAAAGAATGAGAGGCAATGACCAAGTTTGCAGAGAAGGCTAGGAAAGGGAAGCTTAATAGCACTAGGTACTACTTGTGAAGATATATTTAACAGAAGTTGAGCAGGGGAATACAAGAAAGACTACCTGTTCAGTGAGAATGGGGATCACAAGTTGTAGAGAAAAGGCATGAATCGCAGGTCCTACAGCAACACTTTCTAGAAGTGTTTTTAAAAGCAAACCCATGAACTATCTCTGATTCTAGCAAATGCTTTTACTACCTAGGTCCTAGGAGTTCTCAGTTTAGCCCTGGTTTGGAGCAGAGGCAAAGCTGCTCAGACAAATACCTCCTTCTCAGTATGAAAAACTATTCAGGATGCCAGATGGTAGCTAGACGCCACAGGTGCTGAAACAACAATGTCTCCATCTGCCTTAAGTCCTGTCCATTGTTGGAAAGGTAACTGGCCTTGGCATTTCCCTATTGCCTTATCTTCATATGTAAAAACACGTGCAAACAATTAGGTGTTATGTGTTATGTATCATAATGTGCAAATGCATGTACATTTGTATGTGTCAATCCAGACTTGAGATTCCCTGAGGTAAATAGCCAGATCCATTGTTCTCCCAAGGCAGAGGGAGGTGGAGAAGAGCTAGATTCTGCCAACCAGTGTACTCATGAGTAAATGAAACTGTAGCCTGACCTAAGTACTTTTTCCAGCATTCAAAGAATGATTAGATAAAGAGGTATCTTCCTCAGCTGGACTCAGCTGACTTTCAGTCAGTTTTTTAATGAATAACGGAAGAGATGCAGTAAACTTTTGATGCAGAAAACTGATGATGCAGAAAACTGCTAATAGGTGCAGTAAAATGGCCTTGTTAAGAGTTAGTGTGAGGTTTCACAATCTTGAACAACAACAAAAAAAGAGGATTACTACTGTACTTACCCTGAAAAGAGCTGATACAGTCTGAAATGAAGAACCCTTCTTCTTGCCTCCCTTCTTGCCACCACCACCACCCTCTGAAGAACACCAAAAAAGGATGGTTTTACAACTTTGATTTGTATAATTTTTATATATAAGACTGCAAGAAGCTCACTCATATGTATCAGTTATGCTAAGAAAGGAACCTAGGGTGTAGTGGGAGAAGAATTCAACTCTCAATCTAAAGGCACACAGAACCAAAGGTGTACAATAATCCAAAGGATTATATTGGCCAAGCGGAAGGCCTGAATTAAATCTGATCTTTTCCTTTATCAATAAAATCAAGCCATGGAAGACTCTGCACAACATACAGTTTCTTTAGAACACTCTAGTAGATATCCACAGCTCTGGTAGAGTCATTAAATAAAAACAAAAATATGAATTTCACAGAACTGACCTGCCTCTCCTGCAGCAGCAGCAAAGAGTAAGGCCAGTGTCTTCAAGGATGATTTCTGGTACAGACCCACAACAGTTTCATTCAAAGGATCCTTGTTCTTGTCAAGCCAACCAGAGATATTGTAGTCTACTGTGCCAGCATAGTGCACCAGGGAGAAGTGGGCCTCAGCCTTGCCTTTGGCAGGCTTGGGCTTCTGGAAGTTGTTTGACTTGCCCAGATGCTGGTCATAGAGCTTGTTCTTGAAAGAGGTGTCAGTTGCCTTGGGGAACATGCACTCCTCTTCCAGGATGGAGAAAATGCCCATGGGCTGGGAGAAGCAGGAGGAAGGTGGAAAAAGTGAAAAGGCAGAAAGAATCATAGATAAAGAAATAGCTTCCTATGTGAGACATAGTCTCAGTAATTGTTCTGCTCAGCAGAGCAAATTGTAAAATAATCTAAACTTATGTATTTACAATATCACACTTGCCATTTCAAGCTACATATATATATACACACACACACACATATATAAAGCATTTCTGAAATTATTAGACACTGTGAATTAAAATACCTTCTCAATGAGCTCAATGCAGGCAGCCAGGTCCATCCCAAAGTCAATGAACTCCCATTCAATCCCTTCCTTCTTGTACTCCTCTTGCTCCAGCACGAACATGTGGTGGTTGAAGAACTGTTGCAGTTTCTCATTGGTGAAGTTGATGCACAGCTGCTCCAGGCTGTTGAACTGCACAATTACAAATAGAGATAACTATTAATATAAATTTAGAAAGTTTCAGATAAAGAACAATGCTGACTTTTTGTACCAAATTACAGGAGGACCAATGAGTATTCCTTCTTTCCTCAGTCAAGAGTTTGGAACTTCTGTCAGAGCGTCTCTTTTGACAAGCTTTATCTATATGTTTATGACCCCTAGAAGCTTAGGCCACTTTACTAATTCAGAGTTTTCAGTTTTGATAACTACAAGACTGGGCTAATTCAATTATGCGACAGTCCACAGCACAACAATTTATCCAACATTTCCAAATGCTGATTTCAAAGCATGTCCTAAGCCTTCTAAGCACAAATTGTCTCTATGGTACTGATGTATCTGTGATGTTAGTCTGTTCGTAGTCAGCAAAAAACCTGCATTTATGTATTTCCACTGGCATAGGTGTAACACAAAAATCCATTGCATATTAAAAAAATGTGGGTATCATGATGCTTTAGATGCAATCTAATTTCATTCAGAAAAAAAAAGGCATAATTTTGGCACACAACAGAGTTACTTCTAAAAGCATGGAAATAAAACACTGTTCTTACATCAAAGATCTCAAAGCCAGCGATGTCCAGGACACCAATGAAGTACTGTCTGGGCTGCTTGGTATCCAGCTGTTGGTTGATGCGAATAACCATCCACAAGAACATCTTCTCAAAGACAGCCTTTGCCAAAGCACCCACTGAATTGTATACCTAAAATAAATAAATTAAAAAAGGCTTTTAGTTATCATGAAGAGCAAAAGAAGAAATCCGGAGGATTTGTCAACAATGTAAGGATTTTGTTACCTGCTGCACAGTTTGTCCCTTGGTCACAAATTCATTGCCAACCTTGACTCGGGGGTAGCAGAGGGCCTTCAGCAGATCAGCTGAGTTCAGACCCATTAAGTAGGCAGCCTTGTCAGCAACTAAAGACCAGAAAAAGAGACCAGCTTTTAAGATAACAGGAGATATAAGTTTTCCTTTAAAATAAGTATTAAAAGGCAATTCTAGTAAAGATAAAAAGATTAGTTAAGATGTATTTGTTGTTCATCATAAGCAACATTCCCCAATAATTATGGAACATTTATGATGGCTATTTTTTTTTCACCTATTCTTCATTTATTTTGAACTTTGAATGAAAAATCAGTTTAAAGATATTTAGGTAGGCAGTCTTCTCAATAATAAATACTGAAGAACAAAAAGGAAAGATAAGCCTGGGATGTTGATCAGGTTGCAGACAATCACAGATCTTCTCAGAAGCAAATACAGTGCATTCTGTTTCAGTGACTTGTGGTAGCATAACTTTAAAGGCATAATACTGAATACAGCACAATGCAGAAGTGTCAAATACACCTTCATAAACCTAAAGATGTGAGATGAAGGCCTATTTTTAGAAGTGCATCCTTAAAAAAAAGGATTGGCATTTTACTTTCCCCTATTGCTTTTACCATTGATTTCAAACTCTGCCAGCAAACTCACTATGTAAAATTATTTGTTCAAGAATGCTTATATAATTCATATGAAATAATGATTAAAAGGTATAGCAGATTGCTGCATGAATATTGACTATCATCTAACAGTCTGAAATTGTGTCAAGTGATATTTAGGCTAGAAAATGGGGAAAAATTTCCAGTGTAATATCATTATTAAGTACCTGAATAGGTTGCATATTTTCCTCAGTGTTTTCAAATGCAGATAAAGAAAGATTGCACAATAAATGGAGTCCACAGGAGGTGGAGAAGATGAACAGCCACAGTCCTCTCTGAGCTCTATGATCAAATAAAACTACCAAACTAAAAATGACCTGCCATACTGAAAAACTGGTTCAAAGGTTCAAGGCAATTGTCAAAAGAGGATAAGTATCTGTGAAACAGAACTGATTTCAACGGAATCAATGCTACCTACACTACTCCAAATGTTTCCAAGATTTGGTCAGCATAATACCATCACTTAAGGAAAGTTATGGCTATTATTTGTAGCTTATTCTACTATTACTAATCATCATTATCAGATTCATTGCTATTCTATTCCTTGCAGTCATTTTCACTTTTGTCTAAACTTTCCTAAAAACCCACCAAACCACACACACTACAAAACAGCCCAAGAAAACAACCTGTAAGAATGCAAGTTTATGATTCATGCAAAAAACCTCTGGTTTCATGGAAATACCTCCATCAACTTGTAAAGGAATGCACCTTTGAACAATCGTAGGCAAAGCAAACATGGTAGACATATCTTAGATGTCTATTTTTCAAACAGAAGTTCTGGAGACATACTGAGACTCTACATAAAATGCAGAACGTGTGAGCCACAGCTACAGTACTAACTGGTGTTCCTTTTCAACCTCCCATGTAAAATGAAGTAGCACAATGCTCT